GGAACAAAGGAGGAGATGGATACAGTAATAGCTATCATAAGTGGCAGAATGTGTAAGTGACATATAAAAGACAGACATAAAATGCTCTGGACGGTCAGAGGAAAGAGGAAAATTGTATCTAGTGCTGGCGTCTGGAGTGGCTTCTTAGGAGAAGGAAGCCTCCTTCCTTATTGCCTTTTTAGGTGTTTCAGCAGGTGGAGTCTTGCCTACAATGATTATATCAGGTGGAGGGAACAGTCAAAGCAAGATGAGAGAAGCTGGGGTGCTACCTGGGGGTCCCCCAAGTGAAGGATTGGACCTCAAGGTTTATAGACATAAGAAAGAATCTTGAGGCCCTGTCCATCAGATGCTGCTTCTCACGACCTGAGGACAAGAGGGACTTGGACATAAGACACCTAAGACTCAGCTCGTCGCTGTACACCTCCTTGGACATGCAAAGTCTCCTGGGAACACTACCGTAGTCACATTTTATGTGATTCCCTTCGCAGCTGTCAGGAAACCTGCCCTGGAGCCTTTGGGGGACAGCTCAAGCAATAGATGTTCCTTTGATGGTGTTCTACTTGAGTTAATGGTATTTACCCAGCAAATATTACTGTATTCCCCATTCAGTAAAGTGTATTTAATTCATAAGTTGTACAACAAAAATACATGCATTGGAATTATGCACGTAAGATCTGGTGAAACCCGCAAGTCTGTAGTTCAGTGAATGGTATTGTGGCAGTGTCTTGGTTTTTCTAATGTGCTGTGGTTATGTAAGATGTTCTCGCTGGGAAAGCTGGGTGAAGCATGTACAGAAAGAGTCTGTACTATTTTTTGCAGATTCTTGTGAGTCTTAAATTATTTCGAAATAAAAATAAAAAATTTGTTGTTTTCTATTTAAAAGCAAGTTGGAATCCAAGAGATCATCTAGGCCAGTTGATTTCAAACTTTGATTTTAGCAGTGGCCTCCCTCTCTTGCCTTCTCCCTTTCCCATCCTCAGCAGCCCCAGGCACCTCCTGGCAACCGTAGGGCTCTGTGAAATACCACTTTAAAAATGCTAATCCAGTCCAACACCTTCAGATTCGAGATGAGGAAATCAGGGCCCAAATAAGTAAAATACACTGCTATGTAGTGGCTATTTATAGAAACAGAGCCTGGGGAAGTTTTTTAGTACAGTTGCATTCTGCAGATCACCATAAGTCACAGCTCTTGAGCTGACACTATGGTTTCTTTTGTCAGACTGGGTGAGATTAATTAGACTGGCGAAGAGTTTCCATGCTCCTGCGTTCCGTCTCTGTGGTGTGGAGATGGACTCGTCCGTATGGTCAAGACAATGCATGAATGTATTGGGTTGGCAGGTACTTTCACAATTTACCACTCAGGCTGGGGTGTTTGCCTTGGAAGGCCAGGCTTGGGCAGAGCACAGGAACTTGGGACCTCGGAGGAAGTCCCCTGCCTTCTTGCCAACTTGGCCTCCACTCCCACCACCAGCGAGGACTAAGGTGGATTAGCTTTCCTCTTCCTTCCCATTCAGGCCCACGTCACTGAAGTATTGTGGGGAAACCTTGGGTACCTTGGTTTACTTCCAAGGCTTAATATAATTGTAATAATCTTCTCTTGTATTTGTCCAGGGATTTCAGGTTGTAAAGTCCTTTCTGATATGTTCCCTAAGTCAAGCCTCACCCCAGGCTATGACATAGGCAGACTGGTTTTATTTCTGCTTTATAAAAAAGTGACATGACTTTTCCCAAGTCGCTGAGTTGGTATCAAGGCTGGAATCAGAACACAGGTCTCCAGAATCCTGGTAAATGCTCTTTTTATAGGAGGGATCTTGGTTATTGAAAAACACATGCACGCACGTGATGATCAACAAACAGGTGGTGGTGGCATTATTATTATCATTGTTATCATAGGCACCATCCTTGGCCATTCATGATTTTGGAGTGTGAGAACTCCAAGACTTGGTCATTCTCCAGACTTATTCAGGAGGCGGAAGTGATGGTTTCCTCTCTTCCTACACCTCCAAATGGTTAGAGCCTGAAGATGCCATATGGGGGCTGGATGAGTAAGACTTAGGTTTTCCTGAAAAGTGAAGCAAGTTGCCCATGTGCCATGTCAGTAGAAATCTATCTGACAACCAACTGGCAGGCCGGCCACCCTGGGGCTGCCTGGCACGCCCAGGTTCCAGAGGGCTGAGTGTGAGCTGCCATGCTTGCTTTATTTACTGCCAGTTGTTGATGCCTTGCTTCTGCAGGGAAAACTGGCCGCTTCCTTTTCCCTAGCATCCTCCTTGTCCTCCACGTGGTAGGACACAACTTTTACTGTCGACACGGGATGTTTTCATTCGTGCTGACACTGGCCTCTTCCCTGGATGTTCTGCCTAATGTCCTGGGATGTTGAAAAAATTGGTGGGCTGCTTTAATGGTGGAAAGCTAAGCCCATACTTCAGACCATATTCACAGCTATTTCTTGCTAGGAAAAATGATCTCCTGAGGAAGATGTTGATTTTTCACATCCTGAAAGAGATTTGGAAAGGAACTAGTGACCTGCCTCAAGAATATTGTCAATCATCTACATATGTATGCACCTAGCATCTATTAGGCACTTTCTTAATTTTTGTTGAATAACCTTCTAAAGCAGTGGTTCTCAGTCTTTAGTGAGCCTGCCAAAACTAGGATCACCTGCAGGGCTTGTCGAAACACAGACCTTGAAGGCTCACCTCCAGAGTTTCTGATCAAGTTGATCTGGGGAGGAGCTAAATAGTTTCATTTCCAACAAATTCCAGGTGATGCTGGTGCCATGCAGAGACCATACTTTGAAAAACTGTGGTCCTAAAGCTGGGATTGGCAAACTATTTCTGTAAGGGCCAGATGGTAAATATTTTAGGCTTGGTGGGCCATGTGGGCTCTGTTACAACTGCTCAACTTGGCCATTGCAGCCACAGAAAATATGTAAATGAATGAACATGGCTGTCTTCCAATAAAACTTTATTTACAAAACAGGTGGTGGACTCATTTTTTAAAAAAAGTGTTGCAAATATAAAAATAAAAAAAAGATGTTAGGAGCCAGATCCTCATTCTGGATGGATTTCTGAAAGATTTTGGATAGGAATGAGTGTTAAAGATGCAAACGTTGGTCAAATCCCATCTCATATTCGCAGGCCACATGACTTTGAAGGTCACTAACATCACTGTAGGGTAAGAATTATAGAGTGAAAAATCGAGGGAAATGGTAACATTATCAAGTCTGCATGGTGCTTATGTGAGTGTTTGGTTTACTGTTCTGCATGACTGAAGTATTCCAGAATTTTAAAATTTATGTCTTTAAAAAGTATTCATAATAATTCATTGGCATGGGCCGGCCCTGTGGCTTGGTGGTTAAGTGCGCGCGCTGCGATGCTGGTGGCCCGGGTTCGGATCCCGGGTGCGCATCGAGGCACCACTTCTCCGTTCATCCTGAGGCCGAGTCCCGCATACAGCAACTAGAAGGATGTGCAGCTACGACATACAACTATCCACTGGGGCTTTGGGGGGAAAAAATAAAATAAATAAAATCTTAAAAAAAAAAAAAAATTCATTGGCATGTATAGGGCTTCGATTTTGATTCCAAAGTCAACAAAAAGGTGAACTATCTTATAAAATCAAAAATAACCTTTGGAATTCTCTCACGTCCCCAGCACCTTGGCTCTTAGTCAAAAGCCAAGAATGTCTGTCTTTGTGTATCTTTGCATTTGAGAAACACTAAAGGGTAGGTCAAGCTTATCATGTCTACAGTGGAGCTCCTGGTCTCCTGCCCTTCACTAAAACTCTGCTCCTCTGTCACCTTCCTTAATTCAGTTAATGGCAGCTGTGTCTTCACAGCGGCTCAGGCCACAAAGAATGATTCAGGAGGAAGAATTGAGTGAGGAAGGGTCTTGCTACGGACATGTTGAGTGGGAAATTGTTTTATAGTTCAAGTAGGACATGAAGATCTCTTCAGTCAACCCTCTACTTTCGCACATTGACAGACAGACGCCCAGGAAGCAGAGGCGCTTCCCTGCTTTACGCGGATTTACCCATCTAAGCATTCTACTAAGATCAACTTGTCTTGTCCTCATAACAGCCACATAAGATAGCTGTGGTTAATTTCCCAGTTCACAGATGAGGCAGAAAGGGTAAGCAATTTGTCCAAGGTCACACTTCTGGGAAGTAGCAGACTGCAATTTGAACCCAGGCAGTCTGACTCCAGAGTCCCTGCTCTTTAATCACTGTGGGACACTATGTCTAATGTTTACTTCCTTATCTACAATCTATCTGTGGAATGAGGGAAAAAAACACTACTTGAACAGAAGCTGCCTAGTTGCACCTTCAGTAATTTGTATGGTATGCTAGAGAAGGTAATGAAATTGCAGCAGGGGGCTATGGGAAGTGTAATTTCAGTGCATTTCCAATTTTCATCTGATTTTGCTTGAGTTTCCCAGTGCAAATGCATATAATGCTTTGAAAATAGTGCAGAAGCAGGAAGATGTCCCTGTCAGTTTAGGTGCATATCTAGTCGTACAATGGAATGTATTTCTGGAAACCTTGCCCAAAGGAGACTGTCCAAACTCCGTTGAGTGGATCCAGGGTCATTCAGTTCAGCTTCACAAACATACCCATATTTTGTGCCTACTCTGTGCTGAAGCCTGTGCTGGGCACTAGGGATACAGAGGTACCCAGCTGTCTAAGCACTGTGCTTCCCTTCAATCACTTTGATGACTGTAGGTCCAGAAGTGATAGCTTTGGTGGAAACCCTGGTATGTGCAAATTACACCCTGTAAAGAGAGGAAACATGGGTATTCGTGACACGTCCCAGAATGGGTAGCCTGTTAAGATGTGATGTGGCAAAGCTGCCACCCCTTGTATGACCCCAGAGAACGGTGCACAGTCTGGTGCCACTGAACCCGACAAGGGGATGGGGAGTTGTGGGGCCTGAGGTTGGCTTAGTCCAAAAATGTGTCCTTTAATGACTGGAATGAGCTATGTGCTTCTTCTTCCCCCAGGACCCCAGGAGCAAGCACAAGTTTAAAATCCACACGTATGGAAGCCCCACCTTCTGTGATCACTGTGGGTCCTTGCTGTACGGACTTATCCATCAAGGGATGAAATGTGACAGTAAGTAAGTTTTCTTTTCCAGTAGATGGCGAGGCTCTGCAGCTTATGCCCAGAGTTTAGAGAGCACTTCAGGGTCAGTAACTTTTCAACACCAACTTATCGATAGAGAAAACTTGTTCAGATATATACGAAACTGAGAGAATATAGAATCTCTCTGCTGTCGAAGTTCAGGTTTATTAAACTACTTGATTGCCTAATTATGAACCCAAAAAAAGTACCCCATTTGTAAATGAAGTTGGTGCTGTCACATTTTTCCATGGTAGAAATCTTCAATCACAGTAAAATGCAGGCTAGTGAAACCCTGGAGCAAATGCCCTGTGTTGAAAGAAGACCCCCCCACCTCCAGATTCCACATTTGGTTAGGCTTCAAGATATGCTAAGCATCCATAGTCATTATCTCCCTGTTTCTCTAATTAGTGGGTGGACTGTGGAAAAATCGAGTAGGCTTTCCTTAAAACTGAAACCACAGTGAAAATAAAAACCAGGATGGCGTCTTACTTAAGTTCGCTTGCCTTGCATGTTCATGGACGGATCAAATTTCCTTCAGCCCAGTTAGAGATGAAGTGAATCACTGAGGACCACTGCTGTGGAGGGCATCAGCCCTCTTCCGTTCTCCTTTTCGGTTCTGTATGTATCTCCATCAAATATCAGGCAGAAAGAAAAACAACCATGGAAACCCTTTGCTTTGATAATTCTTATATTATGCGATTCCACAGGCTGTTTGTTTGTTTACAGGAAACTTTATACTTTTAGGACCTGGAAAGGTAATTACTGAGTCTGTTGTTCTAGTAGACAGGGAAGCATTATGGAAATATCAGTATATTGTCATTCATTAGTTACTGCCATTATGGCCAAAAGCTTTATGTGTGTATCCTACATGGAGCAAGGACAGTATATAAAAATCAAGATACGTGAACGTTATAGAGTAGATAGTTTCTCAGAACACAGGGCTAGTTCACCTTACAAAGCTGTAGAATTTAATGGCCTAATGAAAGCTTTGTGATCATCCAGACCAGTGGCCTTCTGTGTTTCAAGAAACCCTAGAATTCCAAAGATGTGGTTTTCAGGGGTTCTGCAAGTGCAAATTCTAAGTGCACTTGTAAATGTACTTTTAACTATTTTGAAACTTAGAACAAAAATGAACACTCGAATGTGTTACACACATAGCCTTGACAAGTTGGAGATGACATTGGTGCCTTGATGTTGCCACAGCTTCACTCACTGGGCAGAACGTGCGATCAGGTTTCTGCTGCCACATCCTCTTCACTGAAGAGTCTACCAAGATTGTGAAGCGTGCTGTTAGACAGTGTTACCGTTTGTACGTGCTATTCTACGTGAATCAGGATTTGGGGATGCTGTACAACTTTTACAAAATACAGAATTTAATGAGTTGTTGAGGCTTAACTGAGGCTTCACCTGACATCCCTAACAGCCAGTTTCACACTTTTGTTTGGATCAGAGGGTTTTATTGGTTATCCACGAATGTGTTTATAATAAATAAATGGTATAAATTTGAATTTATTAACTAAGTTTATGCTAATGAAATAATACTCAACTGGTTTATATATTAGGATTCTGCTTAAGATTTTGTTTGAAAAATGGGTTCCGTTACTAAAAAGTTTTGAAAACCACTGACTGGGACTAGTGCTTTTTGTTTTGTTTTAAACTCTTTTCCTTGGAGTCCTAGGGCTTCTGGGGCTGCTGCCTGTGCTCCTTCCTCAAGGGAGGAGGGAAATAAGCAGGTGGGCACCAGGACCCTGACCCCTCCCTGAAACCTCTTCCTGTGCCCTTACACGTTGTAGGGTTATAATACTATATACAGTTCTTGGTGGGGGGAGAAACTAGTTAGCAACCACTTGTCTAGGCCAGCCTCTTAGTTTGCAGAATAGGAAATTGAGTAAGAGGGAGCAAATGAGCTTCCCAAGATATAAAAGCCACTTAACGGTAGGGCCAAGACCAGAATACGATGCAGCGCACTTTCACCTCCTACGCCCTCCCTGTCGTCCATGTCCTTTCCAGAGGCTCGGGCATTTGTGTCCTTTAAGTTGCAAATTCTGCCCAGGCACTTAAAGATAGGATTTGGTTAACACAAGTCATATCCGACGCACAGCTTTTCAAGAGCCTTTATATTGGCTGAACCAAGGTCCATGATTTTGAACAGTTACCTTTGGAAATAGACGCCTAAACAGAATCAACATTTGTGAATCAACTTTCTTTCCTCATTGTCTCCTTTATCCTGCTTTCAGTGTGTAATCATAGCAAATATACATTATTCATGATGCTCTTTGCAATTGACTTCACCATGTTAAAATTAAACACTCAAAATGGAACGAGCATGAAGGCTCCACCTTGAAGGTTCCAGAAGAGCCTTTTTGTAGCATCCCTTCGAGGATTTGTGAGGATTCCAGTGGCCATCCCTCCTTCTGAAGCCTGAAGGTAGAAGGACGATGGAGCTGGAACACCTGCAGTGTCTTATGTTTGTGTTCAGCAGACAGGATTCTTTTGAGAGTTTCTTTGGTTCATTGCAACAAGACTGATCTTTTTTTATCCCCCCCCCACCCCCACCCCGTCTCACCCACGTAATGTTAGCTAGTGAGGAATGGCTTATCATGCCAGGCATGTATTTGTTTTACTTGGAGTAATATTTAAATATTTGAAGATAGGTTTAAAATATCAAACACAAGTTATTTAAAACAACAACAACAAAAGCAATGTACTTAAGCCTTCTTGAAAAAACAGAGTTAGCAGAGGAAAGGAAAATTTTATGAATTTCCTGTACGCAACCTGCAGATTCTCACTCTGAGTGGTGAGCACAGAGAGGCATAAGAAATTCTTTGGCAAAAAGTATCCTCTGTTTGAAATTTGCATATTATTTGCCTCTGTGTACATAAAATATTAATTAGCCCGTGCTTTGTATGCGTTTACCTATGTGAATTTTGTATACTGTTAGGTATTCAAAGTGTTCACAGAAGACCAGGCAGGGGTATTTTGCTTCAGATAAGACTAGACAAGTATGGTACAGATATTTTAAGGATATTGTCACTCACACGATGGCTGAGCTGTAAGGGATATCTGCTAACAGTTCTTTATGTCACCAAAAACATTATAGCAAAGTATCGAGTTAGGGGATAGCTCATTTTCACTTCTGCTCGTACAGCCAAAACACTGAGGAAGTGATGGTTTGAGTCCATATGCCCAGCTAGCCTCACCCTTCACTTTCTTGATTCACAGCCTGTGATATGAACGTGCACAAGCAGTGTGTGATAAACGTCCCCAGCCTCTGCGGGATGGACCACACAGAGAAGAGAGGGCGGATCTACCTGAAGGCTGAGGTCACCGATGAAAAGCTCCGTGTCATAGGTAAGACCGTGCTTGTGGAGGCGTCAAGCATGCAGCTTCTCAGTGGGCATTCAGATGAAGGGCAGGCTGACGCCAAGGTAGGGCTCAGAAACCCGGGCTCGTCATTGCTCCAGAGCTGGTCAGCCTCAGAGCCACTGATTCACGTTAACACATCTCCCAGGAGACTGCTCTGTACGTCGAATTCCCAAATACTCAATGTCATACAAAGTCAGAACCACCCTGTGGATTGAGGTACTCTGACAGCATGGCCACTGTATTGTCCCCCAGTGACAGGGGGACAGGGAAATCAATTAAGCAAAATGCTGTTGGTGAGAGTTGGAACTAGGACAAGGGGAGGCGGATGGATGATCCAGATGTTTAATGGCATCAGGCTGTGATGACCTGATAAGTCCCTCATAATGATGAAAGCAGCAGCAGCCGCCACCGCTGAGTGCATGTGCTTCCTCTGGGTTAGGCACAGCGATAAGAACTTCACATAGATTGATTTGTTTCATCCTCACAACTACTGGATTATTAGCCTCGTTTTCCAGAAGAGGAAACCAAGGCACAGGGAGATCAGAAACTTGCAGTGTCACAGAATAAGTGAGGAGCCAGGATTGGAACCAAGGTGTTTTGACTCTAGACCCTGTGTTTCTAGCTATCACACCACGTGCAGCTCCTACAAACAGCCCAGCCACGGGACTATCCATGGGCCAGGACGCTGTCCTCGGGGCTGTGTCTGTGTGGGCTCTGTCACAGCACAGCTTTTCCTGTGGTTTTCCCACCAAATCCACTTTAGGTTTATCAACACACTCCATCAAGTTATCTTGGAGTCTTGTTGGCCCAGGACCCATCCCGTGTCCTCAAGATGACTTGACGTGTCTGTGCTATGACCCACCCCATGTGGATTTACGGTTTAACTCTCAGATGTCAACCTCTGTTTTCTTGCTCTTGGGCCCCCTCAGGTGCCACCATCTACTCTCCTTTCTTTGACAAGGACATTTGTTTTCATTTGATCCGCAAAGGTATCACTTTTCCATTTGTATTTAGGAATGTTAAGCTCTCATAAAAAAGGAAAGACTAACTTTAATGTTATTTATTGATAGAAAAAAGACTGAAAGGGTCTACTGAAGAAAAAAAAATAAGGGGGAGTTCCAGAGAAAGGATGTTTGAAAACATCCTCACATTTTCTAAATAAGCAAATCTTCTACCCAATGCTGTCCTCTCAGGTAAGAATTCAGGGAAAATCACAGGATTTTGAGGTGTTGCTGGAAGAGGATGAACACACTTTGCCTCTGGATAATCTTATGAAACAAACCAAATATAGCCAATGGTCAATATTGATTTGTGAATAAAATCCCTATCACAGACACAGAATCCCTTTTGACTTTTTGTGTTTTAGAAAATTGCCTTTGTTTTCTCAGAACCATCCCTCTTGCACCCTTACATGTGGGGCTGTGGCTCTCACCTCCATTTCGTTTCATTGGACTGATGCTGTCAACAGGGTCCACTCTCTACTCCTCGGACCTTGTGGGTGCCGATGCTCTCTGCCCAGAAGAAGTGGGGCTCTTTGGGGACCATGAGCGTGTCTGCACGTCACAGCCTTACACTCGTTTCTCTGTCTTTTTGACTAAGGCTCCTACCTTGTCAAAGTCATGTATTGGGGCCAGGGAGCATGCAGAAATTACCATAAAACATAGTCTCGAGAGGTGGTAAGGGATTGAGTAGCATAAAGTAGAAAGCCTATTGTCTAAACATTTCAATGTTTTTCCTTAGCTGTATAAAACTACCACCGTTGGCAATACAATAGACGTCACAGGTTAACAGAGCTTGATTGTGAGGTTCACAGCTCACTGTAAGGCAAGAATGTCTGGGCAGAGTTTTTAAACGTGCAGCTCTCACTTGTTGTGCTTCTGAATACAGCAAAACATACACTGCATGTGCTGGACCTGCCCCGTGCCTTCTCCTGTAATAAAAGCAGCAACCATAAGGTGTTGCCTGAGTTTACCAGTCTCTTCTGTGAGCCTCAGGAGACTTGCAGATGTAAAACTGCACAGAGGGGCACAGATGCCCTGGCTGGGGTGGCACATGGTACACAGGTAGAAGAGAAAGGTCAGCTCCCATCATGCGAGGACAGCAAAGAGTGTTCTCCTAGGACTCAGATGCTAATTGTTCCACTATTGCCAAGAGTTGACCTGGACTTAACAATTATAGAATCATCTTAGGGGACAACACCCTTCGCTGGGTTAGACATAGACTTTTCACGCATGACAGCCAACCGGTATAACTTATGGCAACAATCTAGGTCAAGTCTCTTGAGAATTAGTCTGAAGTATTTTGCATAGATACAGCTCTGCTCTAGGAATATGAATTCAGCGATTGTTGAATAATAAAATAGCAATAGCAGCTGACACTTCTAAGCACTTCCCACAAGTGAAGGGGCACTTTCTAAGCACTTTACGTAGTTAACTTTTTAAACTTGTGTAGACATTTACTTTATTATCCTTGCTTTATAGATGAAGAAACCAAGGCACAAAGAAATTAAATAACTTGTCCCAAGTCACAAAGATGGTAAATTTAATGGTTAAATATTTAATTGATAGAAGTAGAGAGAAGATATTTTAATGATAGTATCAATATGAATTGGAATCTTGTCTTAGTTCAGGCTGTTATAACAAATACCATAGACTGGGTGGCTTAAACAACATTTATTTCTCACAGTTCTGGAGGCTGGGAAATCTAAGATCAAGGTGCCACCAATTTGGTTCCTGGTAAGGACTCTCTTCGTGGCTTGTAGAAGGCCGCCTTCTAGCTGTGTCCTCACATGGTAGAGAGAGGTTGGAGGTGAGAGGGAGAAAGAAGAAGCAAGCTGTCTGGTGTCACATAAGGGCACTAATCCCATCATGAGGACTCCACCCTCCTGACCTAATCACCTCCTAAGGCCCTATCTCCAAATGCCATCTCCTTGGGGGATAGGGCTTCAACATATGAATTTGGGGGGGAGATACAAACATTCAGTCCATAGCAAATCTATCTTAAAACTACAATTGTTATTTGTGAGAAGGAAAGCCAATCCTAAGTATGGAAATCCAAACTCAAGGAAATAACTAATAGGTAATCTTTTCTCTAAAACTTTTAATTCAGAGTAATTTTAAATTTGCAGAATCAGACTTAGCCTGGTTTTAATGAGAACACAAATATAAACAATAAACCATAATGAATAGAGCTTATGGTCCAAATGCAACAAAAAGGTTGTGAAAGTAGTAGAGTTCCCATACACCCTTCACCCAGCACCCACCCCCCATATTAACATTCTTACATAACTATGGTTTAAGTATCAAAGGAGTCTTTTTTTTTTTTTTTTGGTGCAGAAGATTGGCCCTGAACTAACATCTTCAGGGCCAGTTTTCCTCCATTTTGTATGTGGGCCGCCACCACAGCATGGCCTGATGAGCAGTGTGTAGGTCTCCACCTGGGATCCAAAACCACGAACCCCGGGCTGCCGAAGAAGAGTGCGCTGAACTTAACCCCTGTGCCCCCCACGGAGGGGTTTGGCCTTTGGCTGGTCCCCCCAAAGGAGTCACATTTTTAAATAGTACCTGGTAAAATAGGTACCTGTGTTAGTCACTAGAAATTGTGACTAACAATAGAATTGTTTTATTTTTTGTGTGTGTAAGGAAGATCAGCCCTGAGCTAACATCCGATGCCAGTCCTTCTCTTTTTGCCGAGGAAGATTGGCCCTGGGCTAACATCCGTGCCCATCCTCCTCTACTTTATGTGGGACGCCGCCACAGCATGGCTTGACAAGCAGTGTGTCGGTGCACGCCTGGGATGCGAACCCTGGGCCGCCGCAGCGGAGTGCACACACTTAACCGCTACACTACCGGGCCAGCCCCTAGAAATTGTTTTAAAGAGCCAAAGACATCAGACTTATTGCAATGTGAGAGGACTGCAAGGAATACGAAGCAGAGCCCCTTTAGAGCAGTACCTGCCAGTGAGGGCACCCCCTCCTACCATTACCCGCTGCCCCTCCTCCCAACCAAATGGTTCAGGCATGAGTTTTCTTGACAAGTGGTTTAAATAACAATAGCTACCATTTATTCAGTACTTACTATGTACTTACTGTTCAGAGGACTGGATCTTTCTTTGTGCCGAGCGCTTTATAGCCAGTTTCATTGACCCCTCACAATACCACAAAGTACTATTATTATCCTCATTTTCAAGAGGAGCAAATGAGCTGAGAAGGGAAGGAAATTGCTCCAAGTTATAAGGTAGAAAGAGATGGGGTTGGGGCTTGAGCCCAGGTCGAACTCCCACACCCGTAGGCTGCGAACCTCCCAAGTCTCTCTGATTAAGAGTCTCTTTTTGAATAAATAGCAAACCCATAAATATTTGCTAAACCCATATTCAGCACTCCGCGGGTTCTTTGAGGTTATAGAAGGTCCACATGTGGACTGACACCCAGGGCAGAAAAGAGTGACACATGAAGGACTTAAAGAACAGTCCAAGTCCATGTGTAATTAAGTGCTCAATTATGTGGGCGCTGAACAGTACACCACTGGGGAGCGCGGGGGGTGATGTAGAATAAGGGGGGAGGGAAAGTCCCCATGGAGAAAGGAGACTGAAGGACTGTAGATATTTGAGAGGCAGAGGGAAGAGAGCCCAGTAGAGGGCTTAAATGGGATGTGGCAATTAGCCTGGCTTTCATGAGAATGCAGATCTAAACAATAAACCATAATGAGGAGAGTTTATGGTCCAAATGCAAGTGATTTCTTGGAAAATGCACTTAAACCCTGAACAGCTATGTCAGTTGCTAGACTAGCCCCAGTCTCCGTTTTACCTATGCAGAATCGCTCAAATTGAAAATAATTCCCAAAATAGAAACTCCCCACGGACTCCTGCTTTGGGACAGAAATCACCCTTTTGAAATCAGAGACGAGTTTCCTTTCTAGATCGGTGCAGTATTTATGGGAAAGTCCTCCGCTTTCGTGGTGTATTTTTGTGTTCTGCCTTTGGGCAGT